CCTCTGTCAAATGACCTGGAAAAGTGAGCCGGTATTGAACTCGTTGTTGTGCCCTCGTTCGCAGATTGCGTGACTAATTAGCCGACATCGAGGACACAGATTGATTACTCGAGTAAATGCCTCGCAAATAGGATGTGGTGCCCCTGGCCCTTGCTGTGTTCCGTCTTGGGTGGAAGTCTCCATAGTCGCAAAATTATACAGATAGGCACAGTCCCAGTTACAGCATCTTTTACGTTTTTCTTCATTCAAATTACAGTATACTCTTTCTAAGGCGTTGCTTCTCCACACGTGCTCCTTCTTCATTTTGCTCATCTTATTTTCGTTATAATTCTTAAAAAAAAATTCTCCAGCCATCCATGTGACTGCTTCCTATTACACCATCCATTCGTTTCATCTCCAGGCTCTGCTCTTCGGGCCGATGTCATAGTTTGCGAATCGAGCGATTCGCTAGCGAATCGCTGGATCCGAGCGTTGCGCCAGCGAATCGAACGTTGCACCAGCGAATCGAACTTTGCGCCAGCGAGTCGAACGATGTACCAGCGAGTCGAACTAGGTACCAGCGACTCGACCCGCAATGTACAGCTACTCGACATTATTGTTGAATGTTTTGTGTTTTTTTTTGTGTATTTTGGAGGACCCAGAACCTTAGAGAAGTCCACTTTAAAGGACTCCCCTGGGAGCGGTCATATGCGCATCGCCATACGGCATTAGAGCGCACAGACCGCAATTGCCTCGTCCTGTTGCGGCCGCACAACTCGTCCGTGTCACTCAACTACAGAACTTCAGTGATGAATCGATCTGCTAATTTCGGTCTCAAAATCTCGCTGAGTCCCAACGGTTCAAATGCGGATAGCGTCGCGGGCCTTCAGTGTCAAACCAGACCACACGTGAACGTAATAGTTGCGCGGACGAGTTGTCCGCCACATGCCGACGTGGTAGATATGGCAAATGTTTCGAGGGTCGCAAGTGCCAGGTCGCGCTATATGAGCGCGCACCCGGACGACGCAATCCCTTGTTACGCAGCCTGTGCCTTGAACGTTTGCTCCGCCACAAATTAGTGGTTGGTCGCTGGTACATAGTTCGCGACTCGCATTGGCATCAATCTGATTTCTTGGCGAAAGGTCTGGAATCGCTGGTTCCATAAAAACAGTCGATTCGCTGCACACGCTCGATCCAGCGTTCCGCAAGCTATGACGATCGCCTTAACCAGCACACCCTCTCCCCTTCTAGCCCCGCCCACCACTACCAGCCCTGCGCAAGGGCTTGCAAACCTAACCTAAACTCAAGTAGGTATGGAAGACAAACCCCGCTCATACGATTAGCGCGCAATCGATTTGAGAGTTTTCAAAAGATTCTATTTCACTACGAGGGAATAATTTAATGCTACATTCGGTAGGCGCAAATGCAGTTACACCTTACAGAGGCCACGAAGACGGTTCTTTAGTTGGTTACCGGTATACTTGGAAGTTCAAAGAAGCGTCAACTGAACATTTCAAGAAGTCTTCAGTATCTACACCGATGCTACATCGTTCGTTTTCAAGCATTCCCTTTGTTGCTGCGTTGTTGCTGAGTTGCTGGATTTGTCGATGCTAGTGAACTGTCGATCAGAACAAGTTTGGCACTGATATCATTCCCACTTCTTATCGCATTTCCAAATCCTTAATGGGGCATGAAAATTGGATCACTTTTTTGTCTGCTGATGGCTTATTGCGATGGATTTTCTTTCGCCAAACTAACGATATGATATGCACTTGAGTGGCTTTTTCGCTTTTCCAGTTCGGTTCCACTTTCTAGAAATGTCCGCTTTTTCATTCATCTGCCTGCGTTTTTGAGTGGTCACATGCCGCCGGAAGGCGGTCATCTCCTGATCCATGCTCATCTGATTTGAACGAACACCGTTATAGTTTTCAAAAACGATCTACGGAGCGCAGTGGTTTGAAGATCTCATTGAGGGTCCTACAGATCATTTTCATTCAGGAAGCTACGTACCCAACGGACCCTGCGACCAGGGTCGGCCGACCGTTCGCACAATTCGAACGAGGGGTCTCATTTGTGATTTCGGGAAGGGGATGGTCGCATTACGAGACTGAGCAAGGCTATCATAATGGGAACGGAGGTTGACGGAGGTTGAAGGGGGTTATTTTGGACGGATTTTTTTTGACGAATTTGGTGAAAGTTCAGTAGAATTAGGCAAAATAAAATTATTGATTTTGTATTGAAAGATAATTGATTCATTCAGATTGTAAAACCAAAAGTTGTTTTCGGATCTCAATATTGTTTATGTACTTTTGTCGAAATTTTAGTTAGGGATGTGAAAATGATAAATTTACCGCTTAGTGATACGCAATTTACCCCTAACTCCCCTCCTCCTTCCACCTCCCCTCCTCCACCCTCCGCCCGCATTTTATGGTGAGGGAAAAGTGGGCGGAAGTATGGGATGTGTACTGGTCTCAGATATCCATAAACAGAAGTGGAGTTTTTTTGTTTTTTTTTTTGCCAACTGGCATGATTGTTTAGGGTGGCGGTCGGAGAAGAAGGGAGATCGTATTGGGAAAGTCTTCTATGACTGACGGTGGGGGGAGAAGCGATCACATCCTGACGGGGGTGGCGGAAGGAATACTCGAGACCCCTTAAAATGGGGTTGGTTGCAAAAAAATTTCAAAAAGTGCGACGTGAAGGGCGATTCTGTCTGCGACTGCGTGGGACTAACGCAAGGGAGAAAAAGAAAAGGAAAATGTAGAAGTCATACTTAGAGTGATTGCCTCACTGTCTTAGCGCGGAGTTTGAGTAGCATGCTAGCTAGCTAAATCACCTCTGAAAGTTTCCTGTTCTCTTGAAAGTCTTGGGTTTTTTGTTGAGGTGTTTGAGCGAGGAAGTTGCATATGCTTTTGATCATTTCAGTCTCTGACCGTTGAAGGCGATGAATGCCGAAAGGGTACGCCTCAAAGCTGCAGTTTTGAGAGATTTGACGAATATTTCTACTGAACTCACGCCGCCACATGGAGGAAGGTCGAATATGGCCCATTCCAAATGTACCACTGAACTTTACAAAAGTAAAGATGGGTTTTATTCTGTGGCGTGCTCGCAAAACTATTGATTCCTTGTTTTTTTTTCAACGAAAAGAGCAAAGTTGACCAGGCTGAAAGGTCCGATTCTCCAGGAACATCCTAACGTGCCACTCCTGTGACCACCTCAGCTCCGCCCCATCTGGTATCAAAATTCCATGAAAAGCCTCCTAATCATGACCAAAACCGGTTGCGTGCCTCTTACGTACACTTGGGGCATCGTACAAGTCCAGCTAGTGCTTAATTACACTACGGCTGTACATTTCCACCGTTTTTCATGTCAACCCGCTTTCACACTTCAAAGCTTTTTGATGAACAATTCTGACCACAGCTACGTGCTGACGACGTTCCGCCAGTCAATTTGAATTCGTCACTTTCACTGTCCCTGTTTTCCTTTGGAACTTGATTTTTAGACCAGCTTAGACGAATTCCGGAACGTCTCCAACACGCTCTTTGGATTTATCGGGTCTGTTTTGGGGGCGGTGCTTTTGAATGCGTTATAAATTACATATGAAAACCATAAAAAGTGCAAAGCATTCGGATTGATCAATCCCTTTCCAGATACGCTATGCTAATTCGCCTTTAGAGGCATGCCCAGGATCACATTGATGTGGCTCTTGTACGTACTCCCCTTCAAAAAGCGAGAAAGTGTCGGGTGCAGACCATGCACCACAAGTGACGACGGCCTTCACAAAATGTTAATGTTTTCTGCCAATGAAATGATTAGCCTGTTGCAGTTGTATTCTATCGATTGTCACTAATTACAACTATCATTTACCAGAAATCAGCTATCACTATGAACGGTGACACGGAACCTTCTACCAGATTTGCTTGGACACCGTCGTCAGTTATGGTGTTTGTTCTGCACCCGACACTTTCTCGCTTTTTGAATAGGAGGTTACAGGAATGCGAATGTGTTGGTGCGAAATGGGATGGGTGTTGAAGAAAAAAGAAAAAAAAAATCCGTTGGAAACGCTCAGGTTAAGGGCTCACTAACCTTCTCAATCGGCTGTGCCAAGGGAATGAGAGAGGAAAATATGAGGCGAGAGAGCTCTACAGATGAAAGAGCGGCGGCACGCTTGCCAAACGAAAGTTTATGCGAAAGAAGAAAGTCTGCAGTTTCGCAGCCTTTACTTTGCAGGCAAAACGCTTCTTCTCGTTGTCTGCGCGCACGGAACGCCCATTGGTGATGTCCTTGTTTCTCTGAGGCTCTACAGAGATCTATACAAGACGCGCGAAAGGTAGGCTTTCCCACGACCTCTGCCTGGGTTGTCCCTGATGGTAAGAAAATTGTACTTGTCCATTTCTCCGAGGTTTCCACACACACCACGAACAAAATCCGGGCCAGGTAAATGAGTTCATAGAAATGAAGGATCCGAATGTTGTTGGTCTAGAGGCAGTGTACATCTGTAGCAGGAAGGGTTGAAAGACAAAAGAAGAGAGTGGGAAGAAATAAAGGACGATGGAGGAAAAGCGTGAGAAAAATAGAGAAAGTAAGGAATGAATGGAAGCCGGGAAGGAATGAAGAAAAGGGAAAGAGGAGCGGAAGGAAGAGAGAAGAGCAAAAAGAAAGAAGTGGTAAGGAAAAGCAAAGAAAAAGACGGAAATGATAAGAAGTGAAAGAAAAAAGAAGAGGAAAATAGAAGTTGAAGCGAATGGCGCATTTTGCAAATGAGTAGTACGAAGTGGAAGAATCAGGAAACAGTGCAAAGGAGCAAGAGAGGGAGATAAAAGCAGGTAAGCCTGAGCAGCTGCGTCTGCTTGGACACTTTTGATCCCGTAAAAACTCCCTAATTAATTACTACTAATTAAAATTGTCTCGTTATTATTAAACTCCCTAATTAATTATTACTAACTAAAATTAAAGCATATTTATCAAAAACGCAATCACAGACATACACATAAGTACATAATCCGTCCTGAAAACTACCTCGGTTACTCTTCTTCGTCTTCACTCTTGATTTCCTTCTTGGGTTTTTTCACCTTGGGCTCGTCTTCATCGCTGCTGCTGTCAGTGGAGGCCAGTTTCTTTTTCAAAATGGCCAATTCTTTTTTCAGCCTTCGTATGGTTTCTGTCTTCTCCAGACTGGTCAGCCTTTCTTCTAGCTCTCTTATCTTATCTCTGGGCTCGTATTCACCCATCATTTTCAGCAGTTTTGATCTCTTGATGGTGAGGCCTCTTTGCTGAAACGAGAAGGTTAATGTAGTTATTGGTGAAAGTGATCTGACTTACCTCACTCTAGCATGGGTGAAGAATTCTCCGTAATTGAACCTAATGATCTCGTCCTTCTCAATCATCGCGTCGACCTTTCTCTTACTTGACTTGGCCACTGATCTGGAATTGATTCATAGATGCTTATGCCATTGTTTTTCCTGATTTCATGAAGCAAACTATCGACAGAAAAAAGGACTTAATGACCGCGTCTCATGAGCGCTCCTCATTCAACTCGGCTCTTTGTTAACCAAACATTTATTACCACAAATAAAAGCAGGTAGGTCTGAACAGCTGTATTGACTTGGACACTCCTATCTCTAATTAAAGTGCATTTATTAAGATTCTATCACATAAGTCTCAAGTAATCCGCCCTAAGTACTTCCTCGACTATCGTTTTCGATCATCTTTAGCCGAATTTTTGGCCTCCTTCTTAGGTTTTTTCTCCTCGAGCTCGTCTTCGTCTTCGTCAGTGGAGGCGTACTTGTCCTCCAAAGTGGCGGCGAATCATCTTTAGCCGAATTTTTAGCCTCCTTCCTAGGTTTTTTCTCCTCGAGCTCGTCTTCGTCTTCGTCAGTGGAGGCGTACTTGTCCTCCAAAGTGGCCAGTCTTTCTTCTAGCTCCCGCATCCTTTCTCTCATCTCGTGCTCTTCTATCATTGCCAGGAGTTTCGATTTCACGAAGCAGACTTTTCCATATCTGGAAAGATTGAGGTAATTCAATCATCTCTGTGAGTCACCTGCCTTACCTGATGCTCACAACGCTGAAGAACTCCTTGGCATCGACAGTGACAATTCGACCCATCTTCTCCACTCTACACAAACGTGATCTTGCAACAATATCTGGAACTGGCTCACTATTCAAGCTTACCCTTATATTTTCGATTTAATGAACATTTAGAAGACAAGAGAAGAATAAAAGTCTATGGCACTCGTCCACAGGAGGCTTCGCGGCCGAAATCCAAGTCAGATTTGAAGAAAGACGAGTCTTGTAGGATCGAGATTTAAGCACCAAAGAGTGCCCCTACAAAGTGGGTTTTCACCACCCCCTCATTTACCTTACCTTTATTACCCAAACATTTATTATTCCGAATTTCCAACACCACTCCATAGAAATTCTTTCGCTGTTCTCCTTCATTAGATTCCTTTCATTTTATTTTGTCTTTTTGCTGCAGGTTAGGCAACGTTTTCCTAGCGGCATGAGCTTGTTGTTCCCAGAGTGGCTACCCCTTCCCCTCATATCTTCCTTATCGTCACTTCACCAGTCATTCTATGGAGATCATTCTTTAGGATCGTCAAATGCCGCTCCTAGAGAAGTTATGATTGGTGGTTTTCTCTGCATTTCACAACAACTGATTAGTTTTGATCCGTTCAACTACCAGGCAATCGGATGCAATGCTGGTCGGGTGGGCAGATACACTATTGGATTGAACACGCTAGGAATACGGCATTCTGAAATGCCTGTGGGCTAGGCTTTATTTCATAGCGACGCCTAACAGAATTCCATGCTACTCGGTGAGATGACCTTTCCTCCCCAATGCTTAGTAGACCCATCGATAGTGTATCGAGCCAGCAGGAAATCACAAAGTAGGAAACCATAAAGAGGATAGTCAATTGTCGATCATAGTGTCTGTATGGTCATAGCGTCCGTAGATACAAGCCTTCCTAACTCCCCTCAAAACGCAGAAGAGGCTCGGGTGCAGTACAACTATCATTTACCAAAAATCAGCTATCACTATGAACCACTACTAACCAGATTTACTTGGAGGCCGTCGTCACTTGTGGTGTATGGTCTGCACCCGACGCTCTTCTCGTTTTTGAAAGGGAGGGTACATTTTGCGCTTACCGGTTCAAAAAAATCGGCGTGCCCATATGACTAGCGTTGCGCCTAGGGCCTTTTAAAGAAGAAAGCAAATAAATATATGAAGGAAAAATAATGGGATGTGAAGTGAAGATATTAAGAACGTATAGTAGTAGAACAAAAGGGTGCTATACAAGTAGGGTGGGCACGCCGCATTTTTTGAACAGAAATGTAAGTGGGACTGCTGCCCGCTACTATACTGTCACGAGAATCGGGGAATTCGTGAGCCAGGGGGAGTGTAGCCAATCTAGGGGGTGGGGGTGAGGGCAGTCACTTGACATGCGTGAAAAGCTGGGCGTGCCCACCTCTTGTATAGAGCCCAAATAAGGAAAAAGCAAATAGGGTAGGAAAGAACTCAAGCAGGAAAAATTATGGAGAATGAAGAGAAAGGAGTCAAGAAGCAAAAAAGAAGTGAACCGCTAAGAACAGACTTGAACCAAACGAAAAAATGAAGGAATAAATAAAGGAGATGAATAAGTAAGCGTAATGAGGAGCACGAATGAATGCTAATGAATGCAGTATGGAAACTAAAGACGAGTAATAGCGAAGGGAAAGGAGGGAGAAGAACCCCCAAGCGGGAAAGTTCACACCAGTAAACGAGTGCCTGGCCATTGAATTTTGCAGTACTTGAGGCACCCCTAGTGATGGTCACAGATGGCAATCAATGCAACTGATAATCAATGTCGGTACAATCATCCGTGATACCCACAGATTTCAGGTTTATTTCAGATGAAATTTCAATGTACCTCAGCTCAAATTTAATGCTACCTCATGGAAGGCTTTTGCGACGGAAAGGCTACAATGGTATTTGATAGCGCTCCCTCATTCGTTGAGCTCCACGCAAAAGTAGTGGGCGGGGCGCACACCTCTATTTAGTCTACATCTCATGTCCACACCACTGTTCGGTAAGCACAGATCAATGTGTAGGATAAAAGCGTGTTCATTGACATTCGACGACATTATGAAACTAAAATAGAATGTGTGGGACCGTATCTAAAAAAACTTAGCCCAGACGTCGGTCCATTTACGTAGTTTGGTGTTCTATTTTCCCTTTCGACTGTGCCGCTAACAATGCACAAGGATTTTCAGGGATAGCGGTCCACCGCCATCTTGGCACTGTAACCCGACTGCTCACGTTATGCACGCCCTCTCCACCGTGAAAAACTGAATCGCTCTCTCATCGCTGACCTCTACTACCTTTTTTCACTGCCTTCAAGCAATATCAGAAACTTGTTATGAATTTCCCTAATTTGACAGCGCCTGCACGAGGATACTCTTTCGACGTACATCTGATTGCCATGCTTCATACCCGTTTACCTCTTTGGAGAGTTCAGGCAGACAGTGAAGACCGTGCTCGCTTATCAGTCTTTGTGCATGCTTCATGTTATGAGAGGACGGTTGGTAGCACTCTTTTGGAGAGCTTGCTTTTTTTTCGGTTTTACAAGGCTGATTTTTTTTCTTGCTGTTAGCTATTATAATGACGCCATTTGAAGGCAATCAGTGCCAATTTGAGGCGAACGATGTAGCAATATTTACCGAATTGTGTTCAACCCTTTTGATGTATCTGTTGTATAGACACGTCTAATACTACGATGCATTTTTTGAAGCACTAAAAAATCGCATGAGCGCAGATATGTCAACAGTGTAATTTGGATGCGGCATGATTTTATTCCTTCACATTTGCGAGTGGCCACTCTAATTCGATGTGTCCTACACATACAAATGCACTTGTATTATAGATCAAACCATGCATAAGTCCAAGTCTTCTTTTGTGCAGACAAATCTTTCATCAGTTACCCGATTCCGGAGGGATAGAAGTTTTGGATGACTTCGACAGCATAAGATCCAGGGTTCAAATCCCAATGCTAACCAAATGTTCCCTGGAAACCGAACTACTGCGCGCCTAAAAGGGCTTTGCGCTGAACGAAAACCGGAAAACGGAACTCAAGAAAAAACACCGACGTCACTATGGTAAGTAGGACACTTAAACGAAGTGCATGAGAAATTTCGTAACGATACTTTGATAGGGCGGAAGTGGTGTAGTGGCAAGTGGCGCGCTTACCACGCGAGCGGTCCGGGATCAAATCCTGGGTCGTGAGTCGCCCGGGCCAACCAAGCCTTCCATCCCTCCGGGGTCGGTTAATTGGTACCAGACTTGTCTGGGAGGATAAAAACACTGACTTGTACATCGGCTGGCCCCCGCAAGTCATTGTATAGGCCACATCGCATTCAAACGCCACTACGAATGTACAAATGGAAGTAGAATGCGTGCCGCATCCCAAAAAGGGATTGATCAACGGCAAATGCTTTATCCTTTTCCTTTTATGTTTAATCTATCATATTTTATTAGCAGAACATTGAATAACTCATCTAATTACATGAATACGCAACTAAGGACCGGTCAATAATGCAATTAATAATAGGAAAAATTGCACTCGAAACTATAATAAACAATAATTAACACGACTAGCGGCACATATCGGCCATTCATTATGTGATCAGAAGAAACGATTGTAGGACGGTATATAGAGGGGTTTTTTGGTTTTGAAGCCATCTTTATACTGAAGCTCCCCATTCTAAAGCTTCGGCATTGACCTGTATGTACTAGTTAATGATGAATTCGAGATTAGGCCTCACGCGAAGGCAGTGGTACGGCCTTGTATGATCAGCTGTCTAAGGGCTACCAAGCGCTTGTAAAGGCATAACGTATAATGTGAATACGCACCAGGGGAGCACTAACAGACGAAGATTCCACAAAAAATTTATCTAAACTCACCAGGAAGGTCTTTCAGGGCGTGACGAAGCTTTTTGAAAACGGTCTTTTGCATGATATAGGGGCAGATGCGGGACCACAGAACCATGTTTAATTTTTCCTGAACGGCCCTCTGAATACCAGAAAAGGGGTCCCTAGTTCGATTCCTCGTGGTGACAAATTTTTGCATTTCGAGTTGACGTTCCAAAATTCGCGCAAAATGGAGTTAGCATGAATAATTAGTACCATATTCATGATTAGGACCGTCAGTAACCCTACAAAAAGACTTTGACTTAAAAATTGGTGTGAAGAGGTGTGACATCAAGCAGCCCACTGTGGTGTCACACCTTTTTCACCAGTTTTTTAATCAAAGTCTATTTGTAAGGGTTACTGACGGTCCTAATCATGAATATGGTACTAATTATTCATGCTAACTCCATTTTGCGCGAATTTTGGCACGTCAACTCGAAATGCAAAAATTTGTTACCACGAGGAATCGAACTAGGGACCTCCTTTTCTGGTATTCAGAGGGCCGTTCAGGAAAAATTGAACATGGTTCTGTGGTTCCCGCATCTGCCCCTATATCATGCAAAAGACCGTTTTCAAAAAGCTTGTCACGCCCTGAAAGACCTTCCTGGTAAGAACAACTTGGCAGTGATTGGCTAATGGAATCTACGAATTTCGTGCACTTGTGGACAAAAATCTGAAGAGTGGGAGCGATTCCGTGCCTCCAGGGCGGAGGGGGAGGAGGGAGGGAAATAAATCTTTGGCTCTCATCACTGGTAGCCGTCGCTACTGCGTGCTAAACAAGCATGATGGTGCACAAAATCGGTCGCTCTAAAACATAAGTACACTCTGTTCCAGAAACCAGATGCGCGTCGAGTGCAGCCCACACACCACAAAGTGACGAAAAACCCCAAGTAAATATTGGGTAGTGATTCATAGCGGTAAAACGTTGTACCTACAGTGCATATGTGATAGAGTGTACAACTGGCCAAACGCCATCATTTCAGTTGCAGCAAAAAATGCGACATTTTGTTCGAGGCCGTCGTCAATTGTGGGTGTTATCTGCAATTTTGGACGCCATCTGTTTTGGAAAAAGGCTAGATGTGTGATACAGGAAGTTGACGGTGCACTTGGTGCAACAGTTCCTGGAGACTTACGGTGAGCAATTTCGGAGGAGGAAAGCCAG